CTTAAGCACTAATTTCAGTAAAAAAATCTTAAATAACAAGAAGTGTTTATTTTTTTATGAAGATCGTCTCATTTTAATTAAAACTATGAATACATGAAGTCTCAAGTCATACTTATACAAACAAGACTATCTTAATCAAGAAAATCTTAAGACGATGTTTAAGCTTGGACTATAAATACCGTCCAAAGTCAACTCTCTAAAATTTGTCTATTTTTGGATATTTTTTTTATTCCTTTGATTATTTTAAAATGTGTATCGTATAAGAAAATTATACTGATTTATTTGATTGTGGTAACTTTTAGGTATACTGTACTCGATATATTATATTTGTTAAAAGTATCAAGTTAATTTACGTTTATTGATAGAATTTTGTGAAGATAGATATAATATATCCCAGGTAGCACAACGTCGTCAATGAGACGTCTTTTTTACGTACGTTTTGTCAGAACTTACGTCAAACTGACGGTCAGTATGACGTACAAATGACCCTATACTGACGGCCATTTGTCACAGCATAAATGACGTCATCAGATGACAACAGTATGATGTCATCAGATGACAATAAAATTACGTCATTAGATGACAATAGTATGACGTTATAATAATTTTAGAATTGCCTTAAAATAATTGCTTAAAAATAACGTTTAAATTAAATTTTAAAAAGAAAAAAATATATAACAAAATATAATTACATAATATATTTATTTATTCATTATATGTACGTTTTACATCATTTAGACTTTGCTAACGATTAAACTTTCAAATGATAACAATAAAATAGTTGAGCATCTAGTACTGATACTACCTCTAAACGGCAACAATAAAATAAATTCGTATTTGTAGTATTTATCTATTTTATTTCACAGCCTTTAATTTTAAAAATGCAACTTCTGTCTTACATTTAATTTGAGGTGAGTGAGCCTAAAATGTCTTTATTCAATTATTATAAATATAAAACACACACACATATATATATATATATATATATATATATATACGTGTGTTTTATATTATATATTTAAACGTTATATGTGGAAACATTTTTACTTGTATATATAAACCATGTGAATTAATAAAAACATAATCTTATTTAAGCTCACTTATCTTAATTTTTAACTATATATATATATATAGAGAGAGAGAGAGAGAGGGAGAGGAGAGAGAGAGAGAGAGAGAGAGAGAGAGAGAGAGAGAGAGAGATTGATTTGATTGATTGATTGATTGATTGATCTTTATTAGCTTTCACAGCTATTACATATACATAATTACTATACATTATTTAACACATGTTCTTTTAACAGTCTCTTATATAATATTAATTCTTCACATTGTTTTATCTCGGTGGGTAACGCATTATACATTTTTATTCCTTCGTAAAACAGGCTTTTTGCGCACTTCTCGTTTTACGCAATGTTAGTACTATGTTTCCGGCCTGCCTCGTTTGTCTATCACATTCTTTTCCCACTATTTCTATTTTATTACTTAACGCCACCGATGCCATGTTATTTAGTATTTTAAAAATAAATACACCTACATTATAATATAATCGTTGCCTTACGGACATAAACTGCAGCGTCTGCAGCATGTCCTCAACTTTGGTATATCTATTATATTGCAATATGACTCTCATGGCACGGTTTTGAGCTACCTGCAGTTTATTCAACTGCGTTTCTCTCATCCCGACTAATAGAGTGGCACAATACTCGAAATGAGGCGCTATTATGGACTTATATACAATACATCTAGTGTAGGCTGACACGAAGTTACCTATTCTGTTTAAAAAACTAGTCTTTTTCCCTATTTTCTTAAGCATATAATCGCAATGATCTTGAAATCGTAGTCTGTCATCAATAATTATACCTTAATATTTTATAGTTTCAACACGTTCTATTTTAGTTCCATCCAAACATTTCAAAATAGTATTGCCTCTCAATTCTTTTCGAATACTTCTAACTACCATATATTTCGTTTTATCCGCATTCATTTTTAATTTATTTATATTCATCCAGCGTTCAATTATATTAAAAACCATATTCATTTTTATCTCTATATCTGCGCTACTTTCTCCACTTACATATATAAGCGTATCGTCTGCAAACATTTTTATATTGCATCCCTCCGGACATACTTTGATTATATCATTTATATATATTAAAAATAGTAGAGGTCCTAGTACCGAACCTTGTGGCACTCCGTATTCCGTTCTAAGACGTTCTGACCACTGATTGTTAAATTTGACTTGTTGCGTTCTGTTGTTTAGATATGTTCTAAACCATTCTAGCACCATTCCTTTCATTCCATATTGCTCTAATTTTTCTAACAATCTTGTCCTATCCACCGTTTCAAATGCGCGTTTTAAGTCTATGAATATTACTCCTACTATTTCCCCTTCACTAATTGTTAACTTCCAATCATCAATGACGCTTTGTATCGCTGTTTCGCACGAATGGTATTTTTTAAATCCTGATTGATGCTCTGATATAATATCATTATTATGTAAGTATTCATCTATTTGTTCCTTTACGACTAATTCTAAGACTCTCATAAATTGGTAATATATTAATTGGTCTAAATTCACTTGCTTTCTTTGGTTTCTTTACCTTAGGAATTGGTACAATAGTAGATGTTCTCCATCCCTCCGGACACACTTCTTTTAATAATGAATCATTTATTATCTTCAATAGTTTATTTTTTATTACGTGAAAGCTTATTTTTAATATATCACTAGATATTCCCTCATCTGTTCCTTTTTTCTTTGGCAAAGCCATAACAATTTGTTCAAGTTTCTTTAAATTTATCAACTTAAAATATTCCATTTTATCTCTACTATTTATAACAAATGGTTTTTGTATTTTTACTGTCTCTTTTTCTATAGATTCTATTATATCGTTAATGCTCTGTATATAAAATATATTAAAATTATTCACTAACGTACATTCTTCTACATTCTTTAATATTTCAAAGTCTATATTATTAATTTCTTTCGAACCCCTAGTCTCTCCTCTTATGACTTCCTTTAGAGTTTTCCACATTAATACAGGATCATTTTTATTATCATCTATCATGTTCTCATAATATTCTTTCTTTTTCTTTCTAATTATTTTGACTTCCGTATTTCTCTCAGTTTTAAACTGTAACCAATCTTGTTCTTCACCCGCATATACCGCTCTTGCATACGCCTTATCCCTTGCATTTGTAGCTAATCTTATATCATCCGTATACCATTTTTTTCCTTCCCATATCTTTGGAATTTTAAATTTTTTCTTTGGTGCTACCCTATCTAACGCCACTACCATATTCTGCACAAATTTCTCTGCTCTTTTATTTACCCCTAAATTAATTCTACTTTCTAATCCTTCCTCTATTGCATACAAAAAATCATCTATTTGAAATTTGCTGTAATCTCTACTAATGAATTCTCTATATTTTTCTTCAATATTACTTCTATTAAGTTCAACGCTTATCCATAAATGATCTGTTATCCTCGGCTTATCATATACGATACAGTTTACCTTAGTATTTGCAAAAACTAAATCTATCAAAGATTGACTATTTTCTGTAATCCTAGTTGGTTTGTCTACGTATTGTTTCATGCCCAAACACAACATCTCATTTACTAGCTTTTTAGCATAAAACACTTCCGTCATTAAGTTTATATTAAAATCACCCAACATGATGCATCATAGCCACGACGTCACCCGAAAAATAGGGTTGGGCTTCAGGTCGTGGCTTATCGGGTAACCCTACTACCACACTTTTATATGATGGAGGAGTGGTAGGTGTAAGGGTCTTTCTCACTACTTCCTGTCTAGGAAGAGGAGGAGTGTCCTGTACCTGATGTTGAGGTACTTTGGATAGCGGTCCCCAGACAACTGGCCTACCAAGCAACTGGGCTAATTTACTCCCGGCCCCCCCCCCTTCATGATGGGTCGTTTTGCTGTTAATGACTCCAGGGGAGGAATGTTCTCATTGCCCAGGCCAAAGCATTGCTTGTTGACGTAAGCCCGTTCCCAGCCGCTATCAACGAGAGCCAAACACTCTAAAAGTGGTGGCTTCTTCCCAGTAGTGGACGAGTTCAGGTCGTTAGCCTGCCCCTCTCCACCGCGAGACTCAATACTCGATTGAGTGACTAGGCTCAAAGGCCCTAGTAGCCTCTCTCAACTTCTTTTTCCGGTGTACCAAGTCTCAGCTGGTCTATTTAATCCACCTAGTAACCAACTACTCCCTTGACTACACACCTCTCGGTGGAACCTTTATAATTTCTTAAGAAAAATTTATCGCTTTTTCTCGTAGGCTTTTTGTGCGAGTGTCTTAACCGTTTTCTCGCTGAGAGAGAGAGAGAGAGGGAGAGGAAGGGAGGGAGGGAGAGAGAGGGAGGGAGGGAGGGAGGGGGAAGGGGGAGGAAGGGGGGAGGAGAGAGAGAGGGGGGACACCTCTTCAAGTGCGCTGTGCAGCATTTGAGTTTGCTGAACGTCACAACATCCCCAATAATTTTAATAAAAAAAAGTGTGCTGGCGTAGATTGGTTCTATGGATTTCAATCTCGTAATCAAAATATACCACCGAATTCTGCCTGCTAGCGACCAGCTGGCATTACCCCAAGAGGCGACCGTAATTACCCAACACGTCGGTCAATTGCGGCCAATTCAGAGATTTTTTTAATCAATGCAGGCTCAATTATATATTAGCTTTCTTAACTTTTATGCTTCCATCTTTAAAGAATGATTGATGAAGTATCCGTCAACTATTTCATTTTGGTTCTAAAGACATTTTTTTCTGAAAATAAAAAATAATTGGCTCTTAGTCGAGATGAATATGGAGTTTTAAAAAATTGGAGAGCTGACTTACAAATATGCTTATTAAAAAATAATTCTTATTGACTGCAATTCCCCCATTCTCCCATATATATATATATATATATATATATATATATATATAATCTTTCTTAACTTTTATGCTTCCAGTTTCGAAGAATGATTGATGAAGTATCCGTCAACTATTCCATTTTGGTTCTAAAGACATTTTTTTTCTGAAAGTAAAAATAATTTTTACTCTCTACAACGAAACATTTTAAATTGAAAATATAATTACAATTAATGATTAACAGAAAATTGAAATTTTAACCTAAATTTCCGGCGTTATTTCTAGACTGAATTGTCTATCAAATTGAACATATTTTATATGTAAATCATGTATATTATTCATTTCTCACTGAGTTTGGATAAATTCCATCAAATTTGTGGTATAAATATAGGTATATACATACCGTAATGTTTACGCTGTCACTCGACGTTTGCAGACATGTCCCCGTTTAATGCAGTCACAGCCTGACGAATGGGAATTCCAGCTTTTACTGCCCCGATAGCTGCTCTGAGCTCGTCTGAAGACCATTTTTTTCTTTCTGTTTTTCTCGTCCTATAACGAAACATCTTAAATTGAAAATATAATTATAATTAATGATTAACAGAAAAATTGAAATTTTAACTTAAAATTCCGGCGTTATTTCAAGACTGAAATGTCTATCAAATTGAACATATTTTTTATGTAAATCATGCATATTATTCATTTCTCAATGAGTTTGGATAAATTCCATCAAATTTGTTGTATAAATATAAGTATATACATACCGTAATGTTCACGCTGTCACTCGACGTTTGCAGGCATGTGCCCGAAGGTTAATAGGTTATGTTCGACTGCAATTTCCCTGTGCAAGCGACTACCGTTACCCCAAAAACCGAGTGTATTTGTTATTAAATAATAATATTAAATAATAATATATTTATACAATGTCATCGTTTTAATATGGGCGAAATGGAAGCTAAAGAACCAAAAAAGTCATAAAAAACGGTTAAATGTAATTTTAACTACTAAAAATTTCGCAAAACCCTTATTAAAAGTACATCGATTCTTATATGAAAAAGGGCGTAAAACAAGAATATACATATGATGTTTTTCTCAGAAAAACATCATATGTATATTCTTTGAATTGAGAGCCGATAAAAATATTTATTTCTGAGTTAAAACAAGAATCATCAGATTTTTATTAATTTATATTGGTTTAATAGGGACGGCATAATGAATTACTCGATAATCATGTATGTAAACGGATAGAGACAAAAAAGTTTGATATAACTGTTGTATGTTTCTGTAAACGGGTGACCTGCATTGCCTGATGACCGTCATTCCCCCATTCTCTCCTATACCTTGCTCTAAATGTATTTCATTTTCATCATTATTTATATCTACTGTTTCGACATCAGAATCTTCATTGTTTAAGCCAAAATCTTCAGGTGGAGCAGGAATAGTATATGATTTTGAGTGAAAATTGTTACGTGGAACACAATGTGATTGTTTCTCTATAAAAAAAACCGATAAGATTAAAAATCAACAAAGTTAAAAACCGACAAGGATCTATTTAAAAATCGAATCATAAAAGTGTCTGCGACACTCTTGTATATAATTAATAAATGTAATATAATATAATATAAAATATTATATACACACTTTATTTCTACATACATCTCTTATTAGAATTTGTGTCCTGTTCCTGAGACTCTTCTTCTGAATCGTCATCGTTGAATCGTACAGATGGCACATGCTGTCTTTTTTCTCGCTCCAAGTTTTCATCATCCGTTGTACTGTATGTACTGTCTGCTGCATTTTTTCTTGCAGTGTCTAAGCTTGCTATTATGGAAAAAGGTTAATATTTATATTAATTGTACAAATCATTATCATAAAATATTTTTCCTAAAACATAATTTTTTAAAACGTTATTGTCAAAAATATTTTCTTACACATACACACACAATATTTTTAATAAAATATACACAAATATAAATACTAATGTAAAATCAAACGTAAACAAAAACAATTATATATAACTCTAAAAAGTGTATTTTGTGTAAAACAAATATTTGTTACATTTTGAAAAAAAATACATTTTATATTTCTTTTATGTTATGGATTATATATAGATATAGATGAAATAAAAATATATAAATAGTTACCACAATATTTTATTATTTCGACGTTGTAGAGGCACCACAATTCGGAGTTGAATAATTCGTCATTAATAAAGGAGTATTTGAATTACGAGGTGGCCACCAACATTGGGTTTTTTCCTTCTTTCTCTGCTGCCTTCAGCCGTCATATCGTTGGAATTTTGGAATAAGTAAAATCCGAAAGGAATTTCACTACCGCGTACTTTGTTTTTTCTTTTGTAGCAAGTGCCATTCTACGGTATAAAATTATTCTATATAAAATATTTTTTCAATAAATATGTAAATCAATATTTTTAATTAACAAAAGCAAAAAACCTGTCAATAACTAAAGTAAAGAGCGAAGGAATCAACAAAGTAGTCTTCGTACATCTTCGCAAATAATCTAGTATCAGTATTCGATTACATTTCTCTTTTTCTGTATTTAATTTTTATCGTCATGCCAATTTTGCTATATATATGTTTATTCTAATAAATTTTATAATTTGATTTATAAGTTTTAATTCACGATTGTGTTTACGAACAGTATGTATATTCAAATGTATATATAATATTAATTGTATATAAGTATTCTTTAATATTATTACTCATATTCCTTAATTTTCTTGCTTAATTTTCGCAATAATATCGCGTTTGGCTCAATGGCCGAGAAGAAGGTGTATATCGTGGTATATAAGTATATTTTTTATATTATATATATTTATCTGTTTCACTTTTTTACATTTTTATAGTATTTATGTTATAAAGATTAAATTAAGTTTCAATGCAAATTATTCAATAATTTTTCATATATGTAAGTTCAAATATTAAAAATGAATGAAATCTATATGCTCATATTATTTATCTAATTATTGGCTTCATCTAATTGTTTTAATTTCAAACATTTGCGTTTTATTCGCGTTGCAGGAACTTGTATAATATGTGAAGTACTACTGTTTGTTATAAAAAATATGCCTAATTTTGTCGAATCACATGGAGTGGTAAAAAGAGACTGTGGCTGTAAAATACGTTGTAAACGAATAGATAATACATGGTTGTTTTCTAATATATCTAATACAAAAACGACAGAATTATCATCAAGTAACGCACAATTATCGAATTTTTATATATTGAAAAGACCCCGCACTAAACTACGTGATTTTGGGCCCCGGTGAAAATGGCTGAATTTTTAATATGTTGTACTTTTTGAGTCACTGAACAAATATTTCCTCAGGCAAAATGTCAAAAAATGGACAGTTTCAACGTTTCAACTCTTAGAAGCTTGAGGTCAGACGAGCAAAGATATCACTTTCGGATCAATGCGGTTACTGTTATAAGGGAACAATATGAATTTTTGGTGAACAAAATAATTAAAAAGTAATTTGTTTATGACAATATTGTTTAAATAATATGATAGTATTGTCTAAACAATTTGAAAACATCATTATTTACATGAACGATTCGGGTTGCTTTCTGTACGTGAGTCCCCTTGCCTCTCACGATTCGGGGTGCTTTCTGTACGTGAGTCCTCTTGCACGACTCATAGTCACGACCCCTAGTCACGACTCATAAATCTCGCTCTTCTATTCACCTAGTTCCATAGCATCATTTGGATTGATAGGCTGCGCTCTATGAGCTGCATCTAAAATGTTATTTAGTAGAGACGTAGCAGGATACGAAACATTTGGTTCATGACGTGCGTATCCAAGAAGCCATAATACACTAGCAACATGAGCACACGAGCCAATACTCCTAGCACCTGTTTTACAAGTACAGTAGTATCCATGAATAATGTTGTTATGAATATCATTATCGTGTTCATTCTCTTCAATGCTGTCGTATGCTATCCATAACTGATATTTTGCAGCATTGCGAAATCTAGAATATAGTCTGACTCTTATAAAACCAGGTTCGTCAATGAGTTCATCTAACTGAAACTCTTCTTGTTCGTCTCGTTGAATCTTATCCTGTATGTAAGAAGGTGCCAAGTGAACTTGATATACACCTACCGTTAGGTCTCGCAGATAATCTAAGGTAAGACGAGGAAAGTTAGGCACGTGATATTGGTTAAGTTTTTTCCATCGTCCATTTCTGTTACAAAGATTGTCCGCTTCCACTCGCGCTTGCACAATATTAACAGTTTGGGATTTGTCTAACATTTCTCTCGCTAGTTGCGCATTGGCCCCGTCCATATGGATGGGAGGGTGATATCTGTTTATTATCGCTCCAACAATTCGATAAAAGGCACCAAGATTGTATATATGCGGTACATTAATTATTTGAGCGAAGAATTTAAACATAGACTTTATGTGACCGTTTCTTGATTCAACTATCCATCTTGTTTTTGTGATTAAACGCGATTCATTTGCTTCTTCTGTTGATAGTTGACTCTGCCCCCGTTGAAGAAGAGCTGGCATTTTATTATGAATACCTACGCGTTCAAGCCATGGCGTAGCATCGCGATATCCTCGGTCTAATATAAAAATATCCCTATCTTGAAACCATTCTCTCATAGAATCAACATCCCTTTCGTATTCATTGCGCAGCATTGCAGCATCGTTATTTCGGGAGTCCGAAAAGTAGGGACCTTGAATTGCAAGGATATATCCGTCTGGAGCAACAACCAAAGCAGGTTTTACTAAGTGTCGGCCTTTGTGAACGCAATAAGATTGCCGTAAACTCGAAAGTTGCTACTCTTAGGGATATACGAGTAAGTACCATCGATGTAAGCGATAGCTCTAGGCACGTTTGGCTCTCAATTATACAGTGTGTTAGCAAATTCCGTAACGTGCCTAGCTATGTAGTCTTCTCTCGTAATAGCCTGAAATCCAATATTGCTAGGTACAAATCGTTGCAATAAAGATTGTCTGACTATACTTATGGCCAGACTTACAGCCTGTCTACTCGAATAATTGAATATTACCTTCAAAAATTCGTCTGATAGCCCTTGTCGTAACTTGCACAAAAAGGTCAACAAATCTCTCTTAGTTACATATCTGTGACCTCCAGTTTGAGCTACTCGATCGCAAAACGTAAATAACTCGCGAAATTGTTCTTTTGTTATAGGAGCAATGCATTGAAATTCGTTGTCTGAAAAACAATTCTCATCTTCATACCTCCCTTGGTTAATAGCCATGTTTTTTAGTTGCTGCAAAAATATTTGCAATTCTTGTCCTTGTATAACATAAGGTCTATTAATGGACTGTAAGCCAGGGAGTAAAACTTGAAAGAAAAATCCATTTTCATCTAAGTGATGCGCGCAAGATCTTACGTTGGGAGGTACATAAATGTTCGTAAGAACAAAAACTTTAACTCTACATTCAATAGACAGTCTGTGCGTATTGCGATCAACGTGACATATAACACAAGCATGATTTGCTTTTTGTTTCAAAACGTTCAACTTTAAGCAAGTAGGATCGCGTAAGATACTTGCTATTTCGTTAAGAACTGAACGATTACAATTTATACAGATTCTAGTGACATTTGTAACAGCAAGTGGTGGATGATCATTTTCGTCACGTCTACGAATAGCAATGTCTCGTTTGTTTGCATTGTCATCATCATCTATTCGCGCTAAATCAAATGCTACGTTACATATGTAACACGGCATTCGATTTCTGAAAGCCATAATGATGAAATATAATAGGAATAAACGATAAATTATTTTTTTACAAACTCGTTCGATTACAATTCCAGCTTTGGCAAAAGCGCAATTATAATATACAGCATATATTTATCACTATTATAACCAAAAGGCATAAGTGAAATTATAACATTTGCTACTTTTGTATATAAGGGCGAGCGCACGTACAATGTCAGTAGCCTGATGAAAAAACCGAGCCACCGATCACGGGCAAAACGTTGCGGTCGTCGACCTTGAGTGGTAGTTAATATTGTGCAAGCGCGAGTGGAAGCCAGTGTGGGGAACCCGACGTCCCGCAAACCCTTGTGCGCATGCGTCAAGCTACGTCACAGCTGAGTCGCGAACAGTGATTCAAATTGGGCGCGTTCAAGTTGACAAAGCAGCTAGGCTGCTCGCCGAGCAATTATATACGATTAGTTTTACTTATAGATCCAACTAATCACATTCAATCGCTCGGCGAGTAGGCTAGCAGCTTCGTCCGGCTTGAACACGACCATTGTTTATACAATACTATCATATTGTTTAAACAATATTATCACAAACAAATTACTTTTTAATTATTTTGTTCACTAAAAATTCATATTGTTCCCTTATAACAGTAACCGCATTGATCCGAAAGTGATATCTTTGCTCGTCTGACCTCAAGCTTCTAAGAGTTGAAACGCTGAAACTGTCCATTTTTTGTAATTTTGCCTGAGGAAATATTTGTTCAGTGACTCAAAAAGTACAATTCAGCCATTTTCACCGGGGCCCAAAATCACGTGGTTTAATGCGGGGTCCTTTTAAAAGTTATAAACTGTAAATAAGAAATTTTATTTTTTTTATAAATAGCAATTGGATATTGCGTCATGTTACATTGTTTAATGGGAAGCTGTAATTCTTCAAATACACGATTGGACAATTCTTGCGAAGGTTTTCCACATTTATGTAGTTTTCTTTTTATCTTTTACATATAATGTTCGTACTTAAAGCAACTAAAATTATCTAATAAACCAAAAGATAGTACATCATTAGCTAGATGAAGAAGATTATGAACGTTATACGAAAGATATTTGTCATCATCATATATATATATATATATATATATATATATATAGGGAGAATGGGGGAATTGCAGTCAGTAAGAATTATTTTTTATTTTCAGAAAGAAAATGTCTTTAAAATTAAAATGGAATAGTTGACGGATACTTCATCAATCATTCTTCGAAAGTAAAAGCATAAAAGTTAAGAAAGCTAATAAATAATTGAGCCTGCATTGATTTAAAAAATCTCTGAATTGGTTGCAATTGACCGACGTGTTGGGTAATTACGGTCGCCTCTTGGGGTAATGCCAGCCGGTCGCTAGCAGCCAGGATTCGGTGGTATATTTTGATTACGAGCTTGAAATCCATAAAATCAATCTACGCCAGCACACCTTTTTTCTTTATTAATATTATTGGGGATGTTGTGACGTTCAGCAAACTCAAATGCTGCGCAGCGCACTTGAAAAGTGTCTGTCCGTAGAACACTTTCGCTAACTTTATCAGGAGACGCG